GGGAATTTAGAAATCAATGGGCCTCTTCACCATAGGGGCGTGACTAACCATCCCCACCCAGTCCTCAAATAGGCCACGCTCAGCTTTATAGCGCAGAGCAATTTCCCGGAGTCTTCACGGAGACTTCAGAGTTGTCTACCGCTGACGAAGCTTCTGTGAGAGAAGCGAAACGTCCTTTTTTGTTTTTTACCCACAGGTACAGATGACGACTGACAGAACCCTTTCTACGATGGAACTTTCCTGTACGACTGAGAGCCTCCACAAGCATCGTTAGTTACCGTTTCCAGAGATGTTTTTCATGAACTAAAGAAGAAAATGTAAACATCAAAAGCACACCAAGAAATACATCAGTTCCACCAGACCTAACATGATGTACGTAAAGGGCAACTGTTGCCTCTCCACTCACAGCTGATCTTATCAACCAAACTATACATGGATGGGCGGTGCAGCGTCCAGCGGAATATTTTGCTCTGGACCAAACCCTTCCTAGTATTGGACAACAGCAGCCCTCTAGCACCTTCCCTTCAAATACTTTTGGCCATCTAAAGATAGCTATAATTCTTTCAGTTATCAAATATACTCAATCATAAACACTGCAAAAATAAACTTCAGAAATTGCACAAAAGAGGCTCCTAAAGTACTTTCCAGTTACTATCGTGCAGATTTCCCATAAATGTCACTTGTGGTTGAATTATTTGGCATCAAGGCTGCGCTTTGAGTCCTAAATGATCCAGTAGGAAGTCTACAGTATGACCTCAGTTTGTATTGTACCTTATGCAAACTAGTAGGGGCGGAGAAATTCCTGTACTGGTTGTTGGTAAGTGGTGGAAAACATTACAGTATTTCATTAAGTCCCAAAATAACTAATGGCCTATGCATGGCATATGCATGGCAACATACTAAGCCTTTGTGGTGGAAAGGTCAGACTGCATGACAGTATCTACTGTCAATAAGTTACAAGCCCTTTGGATTCCATTGCGCTGAAAATTAACCTCTGTTGTTAAATGTGTGATAACTAGGGGTTATATAATAGGTATACTGTATTCAAAGGTTTGTGCTCCTACTTTGAGGTCAAATTGACATCAAAAGTTTCTACTTAAAGAGGGTAGTGGTACACCACTGGGTTGACTGGAGGAGCCACATTCAGTGTCAAGTCGGGTTTTAGGTTCAAACCTAGTTTTTTGTGTCGTTACTGTATGTATTTACATGTTGACCAAACGTTAACATCCCACCTTACACTGAACACACAAGTGCCGTGCGCCTACAGTCCATTTATTGAACAATGATTGCTGGAATCATTGTGATCCTCTCTTGGCTCGGGTAATGCGCATGATTATTGCTTCCCGCTATATTCTGGAAAATAGGGCAGTTCCGATGACGGTTTTATGCTGCCGATTTCAATACCAATCATCCAACAGTGAGATTGCCCTGGTTTAGCTGCATTTATTTTCAAATTTTAGAGCTGCTCACAATTATTTTCAAAATCAAATAAACTTTCGATTATTTTTTTTAATCATTCATGAGTCAGATTAAAACATACATACTATTTTAATTTTGAACACTTCAACAAAAACAGAACACTTCAAATTGACCGTGCAGAGCATCCACAGACATATGATTCAGTTACTGCTTTGGTAAAGTGCAGGAAAGGGGGACACTACACTTCACACAGGCTGCTGTCTAGATGCTGCAAAGTATGAGCTGGTGGTGACTGTTTTTTGTGATCGGCGAGGAAAGGTATTGATCGGCATATCGCGATCACATATCTTTTCACAGATATCGGCCCATCATCATCATTAGCTAATTGATAACAGCACCGTTATTAAAAAGGTTCCCTGAATTTATAGAAGGATATCCATGGAGAGGAAGGCAAACTGACAACAGCAGACAGGGAATGCCCCCCCCCCACACACACACACACACCAGAAAACATTCTAAAACCATGTTTAAAAAAAGAATGTACCAACCTTCCTGCTTCGACCTTGAGAGCCCAGGACAAACTGCCCCAGGTGGTCTCCTGCAGTTAGCTTGCTCTTCCCACACCAACCTGGAACCCTAAGGGAACGAAAATAGTCACAAAAACTTCATGTTAACACATCACCCTGCTCCCTGAATATATCTACCAATTGTCTGGTAGGCTACTGATTTGTGGCTCACGGATATCAATACATTAGCCAATGCCTGTGGTGTGTGTGCTTGACTCTAGTAGACAGCTGTTAATCTGTGAGCGCACATTGCAAACAAATCATAGAGTATGCCAGCCAGCTACATACAGTGCTGGCAAAATACATTAACTACCTCCTCAAATTCCCTTTTTTCACAGTTTCATATTTAAAATAATCAAACAGATGTAAATATCAAAGATAGCCCGGGTAAACATAAAATCGGAGGCGAGAGGGTTCAAAGCCACCTTGTCATGTGTGAAATAGTAACCGACCTTTAAAATGAAGTGGTTGGGCCACACTGAGCAGAAAGAACTGAAGTCTAGCGTTTTCTGTAACTGCAAATGAGTCTTACATCTCTGTGGAGAGATTTTGGCCCAGACTTGTTTTAATTCAGCAATACTTAACTCAGTATTTTTTAACGTGCTTGGACTTTTTAAGGTCAAGACACGGCATTTGAATCAGATTTAACTCTGGACTTGGCCACTTTAAAACCATTTTATTTTTTTAAAGCATTTAGAAGTTGACTTTCTAGTGTGTTTTGGATTACCGATACTGTCCTGCTGCAGAAACTAAAAAGAAAATTTGAGAGAATAGGAACTGTCCAAATTCAAATTATGCCCAACGGCATGTATCTATCAGACAAAATTCAAGGTGTACACTCCCCATTTGCCGAGTTGAAACAGAGTATGGCAAGGTAAATATTTTCCCATATTTGCACCACTGGCAGAGGGCACATTTGTCTGTTAAAATTGCTCTGAGGGAACCAATGACAAAAGCCTTGGCGATGAAGCAGAAACATACGTCTGCAAATAATGGGACTAATCCTACAATTTTACACATAGCCAATGACACGTGATTGGCTGCAGTATCATCATAACATTGCTTGTCAAAAAAAAAAATAAATGAAAAAAATAGCATGTCAATCCAATGATGCACTCTTTACGTGTGCCGCTGGCAGCATGCTAGCAAGGGTTAAAGTTAGCCCCCTTTACTGCAATCTTAGTATGGAAGAACACATGATAACTGTGTCGGTTTTTCACACCAAAAACCAATGTCCCCCGCCCCTCCACGGCCCCGAGCTGTTTGTTGCAAACAAACGTGTTACAGTGAAATGTTTCGCAAATATATCTTCAGTCCCCATTAACCTTTGCATCATACAAAACTATGGTATGCCAATTGAGACAACTATACATCAGTAAATATGGTCATGTTGTACGGCCCCATAAACGGGGTGCAACCAATCGTGTGTTGGTGTGACCAACTAAAAAAGTTGGTCGCACCAGTTTTACCAGCGCAAAACAGTGCAAAATGCTGCAATACCTGACATTTAAGTCATGTACTGACATGGGCGAAATTGCTTGAATAATATAGCTCACATTTTCACAAGAAACAAGTTCAAATTTGAATTCAGCATGACCAATTACAATTTGTGAAATTCTGTAGAGATGTGTCTAGAAATAAAGACCTATACTGTTTTGCCGTATTTTCACAACCATTCAGCGCATCGTATTAAAAGGCCTAGTGTCAGTTACGAGTGCTATTTCTGTATTTAACACATACACAAGACGCATTATTCTATTGGACGCAGGCATGGTAATGCATACGCTATCTTAAAAAAAAATGCAGTAGCATGCATGTACGCTAGCGTATGTTTTTAAAAAGGCAGCAGGAGCAAAACCGAGTTTGATTGTACTTTATTGAAATATTTAACAATGTATTCACGTTATTTTTTGATCAACACCATCGATTAGTTGATCTAGAATTCTCTCGCAGCTGCTCGATTCCCTTGGTCCTCCACATAACTGATAGCTTGCAGTTTCAACTGTGCTTTGCAAGTGTCTCTCTTCGTAGGTGCCATTTATATATATATATATATATATATATATATATATATATATATATATATACACACACACACACACACACTATGTACACCTACTGGGGGTTAGCATCCTCTTTCACGCCCTCACTTCTCACTTTAACGTCCGCATCCTGTCCTCAGTTACTTCCACCTTTCCTCAATGTAAGCAGCTGTCGGCACAACATCCGTCAGTCACGCAGACCCCTCATCAAAGTCACAACAGCTTTCACTGATTTTGGAACTCTGCACACATGGTGACCCGCATTATTAGGTGCCCCATCCATTTTGGAGAAAATGTAAGACTTTTAAGTGTGCCTTATGGTCCTGAAAATACGGTATCTAATTTGAGGGCGTTTTGTCACATGCAACTGCCAAACCTTGGCAAAAAGAAACCAATTTGGCTCAAACTAAGTTTGAGGCATATCTTTTGTATGATCAGGAGAGCAAGCTGAAACAAGAAGGCACTTGGTATGAGATATATTGGCAGGCAGAAAAATATTTTAATTCCCTGAGAATGCAGAGTATTTTGTTCCTTTAACACACTGGTGTCAAGATCAAGGCCCGGGGGGCAGATAGGGCCCACCGCATTATTTTATGAGGCCCGCAAAAGCAAATTAAACATGTCAACTTCCATGACGCTTGCTAAAATCTCGACCAAAAGTTTAAATTCTCATATGTAATAAATAAGAGACATATTGTAAGCATTTTCTTGTAACCAAACCCCTCATTACAGTAACTTAAACAATAGTTGAAGAAACCGTTATTGACTTTTTAAAATTTGGTTTCAGTCACAACGGCCCTCCAAGGGAAATGGGAATTAAAATGTGGCCCACGACAAAAATGAGTTTGAAACCCCTGCTTTAACACATAGACGTTTTCATAGTTGGAAGTATATATGCCACCAGTATGTGTTGAGGCTTTTGTTTACATTCCCAGTATGTCACCACAGTGGAATGACAAAGAGAGCACATGTAAGGGACAATCATGGACCTTTAGCTTTATCTCAGCACTCAATTGATGATAGTAATGAGTGTTGTTTTTGGCAGCGATTTTAGAGTTAATCTTAGTCTTTTGAGCAAAAATGCTTTTTAGTTTCAGCCATAGCTTTAGTCGACGAAAACTCAAAAATAGACACACAAGGTTTCTACCCAATAGCTAAGACTTTCTGATCTTCTAAGGATTATGCATTACTCACAGATAAAGAGGTAACAATGGAATCAATGTTCATTACTCCAAAATAAGCCATGAACCAAAACATTTTCTTTGGCAGTTGTGGCTTTATTTCTGTGAACATACCCGCTCAAGTTCAATGATGTCCAAAATATGAGCAATAAACAAGGAACACTTAAAAATAAGTAACAAACATGACCCTTACAGCAAAATAAATAAACAAAAGCGCCACTGTTTTTAACAACAGACTCTGGTGTTAAGTTTATTTCATCCTCAGAGCTGACAGCGTGGATCATTTTACACTCAGATTCCATCACTGCACAGCTCAGAACATGAGACACCTGCGTGGTAAGAGAAATAATGTAAAAAAAAAAAAAAAAATTTTTTTAAATCATAAATTGCAAGGTGAGGGAGACACACACATGCATGAGATTGCAGAGTAGAGGTGACGCACATGCACACGTACAGTGCACTTACATGTGCATACACTCACTGAACTCATTGTTTCCCCTTCTGTTTATGGTTCATGTCATCAGTTCAATGGAGTGCAGATAAATATTTTTGCTTCCAAAAGCCCTTTTTTGGTGTTGTTTTGTAGAGGGAAAGTCTTTAGATGTTTGAGGTGTCACTATGACAAAAAAAAAAAAAAAATTGTGGTGGAATACTTGAAATTATGCTTGAAACGCATGCTTTTACAAAAGGTATCTTTGTCCGTTTCTTTCTTCGGAAACTGGAAACCTAATGATATCTAGCTATTGCCTCATGCTGATTGTGAGAAAATGGAAAAAGATAGAAACAAACGTTTTTTTTTTAAGCTATTGTTTTAACGTTTTGGACATTCCAAATATACAACACCAAACCGTTAACATTTAATTTCTGGAAATACTTCATCATGAACAGCACATGATAGCAGTGTAGCTTCCTTGACGTGTGAGTGAGTTGTGTGGGGAGTGGGGGGTGTTTTCGTTGGGAGAACTGGGTGGGGTGAAGTGAGACTAGATTCAAATCTTCGTAGCTTCATGCCTGAAAACTCTCTTGAAACAAACTTTATTCCACTTTCTGACCTTTAAAGTGAATACAAAGCAGCTTGTGTCAGCACACTGTTGTCAGGGGGATAAATCATAGCAGCGGACAGATTGAAAAGTCCGATAATTTCTGGTCAGGTACTGAAGACTTTTCTGTACTCTACAGGCTTGTCACTATGATAGCTTCATTTTTTTAAGCAGTATTAGCTACGTACAAAAAATGGTTCTTTGTACAAGCGCTCAGCATTAGTCTCTGTATATTTTACACATAGTGACCTGTACCTTTCTGGCCTGTTCTGAAGGAGAGACATGAAGGAAGTGGGGAACAATGAGCCATGACCTAATGACAAAACCCATAATTCATGGAAGTATTCAGAGGAAAATGCATTTTGTTATCATCGTGCTATGCACTCAATGTGCTTTCTTTATCACTTCCCCTCTTGTTCTTTGGCCATAATAGCAAAGCTGTGCTCTACTCAACGGCCAATCATGTCGTTTATCACAAAAGGCCTTACCAAAAATCCATGACCACATACGCTTCGTTTCCCCCTGATGGACTAAACAAGTTGTCCCTTGCCACCCCTGAGCATTTATCACCTACTAACAATATTGATGGTTTGCTTTGTTTTTTTATTTCCTGTATGCACTCTTGCTACTGGAAGTGCGTAAAGTGCCCCATTTTGGGATCGTTAAATGTTATCTTATTCTTGAGCCTCAGATGTATTTTATGTCTTCCTCTATGCCTGACTAGATTAATAGTCTGTCACATGTTTCGAAAATTTAGACAACTACTTTGTGGTTCAGTTTAACACTTAACTCACACAAGCAGTTGTGATTCAAGAAACATTTTGACTTGAGTGTGACTTGTGAACGGAAGAAGTGCCAAGATGCAGTCCAAAGGAAAACAATCTGTAATTTTGGAGGCAAGACCTCAGAAAATACAACTACGCTACAGAATTTAAACTTAAGTCAAATCACATGTCCTTGGATTACCAGTACTTCTTTTACAACAATAAAAGCAGAGGCTTGGTACTCTCAAATATTTTAACACATCTCATGCTGACATTTAGGAAAATTATGCTTCCATCTTTGCAGGGATCCTATATGTGTCTTCAAGTCAAATTTAAGATTTTTTTTTAAGCCTATTTAAGACATTTAAAAAAACGTAATGCCTATTACACAGTCATATCATTCATTCATTCATTTTCCGATCCGCTTTATCCTCACAAGGGTCGCGGTGGGTGCTGGAGCCTATCCCAGCTGTCTTTGGGGAGTAGGCGGGGGACACCCTGAACCGGTTGCCAGCAGGGCACACAGAGACGAACAACCATACACGCTCACACTCACACCTAGGAACAATTTGGAGTGTCCAATCAGCCTGCCATGCATGTTTTTGGAATGTGGGAGGAAACCGGAGTACCCAGAGAAAACCCACGCAGGCCCGGGGAGAACATGCAAACTCCACACAGGGAGGCCGGAGCTGGAATTGAACCCGGTAGCTCTGCACTGTGAGGTCGACCCGCTAACCACTGGACCACCCACCGGGCCGCCCACAGTCATATCATAAAAGAAAAACAAAATCTGTAAATTTGTGCTCATGTATTTCTTGAATGGGAAAATGTAGAATATGTGCAGTATGTAAAAATACAGTACATTGAGTAGGCTACTCATGTGACACCTTGACAACACAGACGTAGGTAACATGCTCGTGTAAAACCGACCATCACTTGTTAGAATGTACTGTTACCATTGTACCACAAGTTGAAATGCACTGTGTGCTTTTGCAGATTAGATATCATGTTAAATTAAGATGTGGAAAATGGGAGATAGACACTAATATTTGTTAAATGCAAGAGTGTTAAGATTATCTTAGCATAGCTTGCTACCTGCAAATGTAGGGACACGTCTACTGTGAATACATTGCTAAACAGAGATTAAGTGGGCGTGTTTTGACCTTGTACAGCCTGATATTGCATGATTTGTTCAGTCCCAACATGACTTTACAACTCAATTGTATTTTAGTTTGTTTTCCTCCATGTAAAAAGTCAACTTATGCCTAGCTTGTCTCATATTTATTTATTGTACAGTACTTGCATTGGTGTGCCTTTCTGTATTTTGCTTTTCATTATTTATCTTTCTGTATTTTACACCCTGCAGGCATTCACGAGGAAAGAAAAGTGCGCTTCACAAACTTCAAACACCTCGAACCATCTCCAGTACAACAAATACATTCACAAATAAACCGATTACTAAAGTACATGAGCTATTCTCCTGCCCACATTGGTCTTGAAAGAATGTTCCATTTGCGCTATTCAAAATGAGTTTTCAGGGCAAGTCACGCTGTTTGAAATTTCACAATAATTTTGACGCATCGACTTGTAGAAGCCCTCAGATTTTTCGCCCGTATGAGCTTATTTGTGGATATTTTTAACAGAAATGTATCAGTCAGTCAGCAAAATTGGTCCACGAGTAGCAAACGAAACCAAAGGGAAGCCATTATCCGATTTTCAAACCACTTGGTGGATCATAGTCAGGTTGAATTGGACATTACACCCACACTCAGCATTACGGTTTAAAAAATAACTGCTAATTTCATTTTTTTAAGCAATTTCAGAACTATCAAGTGATACAAACGTTGTGTTTTTTTTAATCAAACAGATTTGGATATTTTATTGATATTGTGAGAGTAAAGTTAAAAAAAGATATGCGCAATTCCGCTACTAGGTTGAGGATATGATAAACACTTGAGCTAGATGGATGATATACTTTATTCACCTCCGTAAGAGAAATTCGATTTGTAAACATAGAATCTTGAATTTGCTTTGATGATAGCAGACACTTAGAATCTTGAGTTCACTTTGGTTCACCATCAAGTTAAGTTGTCACGGTGAAAACATTCCAAATACCAATAAATAAACCACAAACAAGTATTGGCACAAATTGAAGCAGAACGAGCTTTTAACAGGGAGGTTTAACAGGGAATTCTGTGAGGTGTTAGTGAGCTAGCTGGCTAACGTTGGCGAAGTCAGACCGTTGACCCAAAACCACCTACCAAGTCGCGACCTTAAATACTATCCATACGCTTCGTGTGGCATTTCAGCAGCCGCCCACAACTGTCGTGCCTTCAAGGTGGAGCTATGACTGGCGGCAGCTAGCTTTTAGCGTTTGGTCAACGGCAAATAACGACCGCCACACGTGTTCAGAATGACAGCAGGATGGCTCACACTCACCCAGAACCACCGGGACACGCTGAAGATCACCTTCGAGTCATCGTGAGGTAACAGCAGCTGTTATCTTGTGGGGGACGTCGTTGAACAGAAGATGCGGCTCTGTGCCAGAAAAATGTGGTGTGGACCCGACAATGCGAGTTGAGAGGCGGTGCTGTGTTGACGGCTGAGCTCAGCTAGACACTCCACTTTTGCGCCTCGTCGACTGGCCTGAACCGGCTGTGTGCGTCTTTGACAGGACGTGACGTCTGTTACGTCACAGGACAAACTTGTGCAACCTGCCTCCGAATTTGCATAGCATGAAAATGCTCATTATTATTAATTTATTGTTCGGTGAATTCTACAGACCATTTAACACTTGTAACAGATTCCCCCCTCCTTCTTCCTTTCATATTTCTTGACTGATTGAAACCAGTCCAACATCAAATTAGCCACGTTCCCCAAATGCTACACGTTCCACTCCTCTCATCTTCCGGAAACCTCTTAATAAAATTTCCTACATTTAAGGGATGATATTTTTACATAATTCTCTCCGCCCACATTTCTTTACCGATTTAAACCATTCGGTTAAAAAATATGGTCCACATTCTAACAATTCCCACATAGACTAAATTCCACACGTTTCACTGTCATATTCCCCAATTCCTCGCCCTCCCAAAACATTCGTGTAATATAACAGAATGTTTTCCCCTTCAAACGTTTTTGACATTGAAATCATTTCAACCTAAATATTTTTAAACTTCCCAGAAACATTTTCACAGTAAAAAAAAAATAAATATATATATATATAACGATAAAATGCACAGATTGCACATGAATCATGACAATCACTTGTTCAATGTGACCATTTAGTCATCTCGGCTCAATGCAGTTTCACACTCATCAGGGAATGTGGGCAAGGAAGTTGCACAGGTAAGAAGACAACACGTTAATCGAAGAGTCACTACTCAAGAAAAACTCAACCAAAAAAAATATCACAAAGCAAAATCATTGGAGCCAAATTAGTAATTGACCAGTCTGGAAACTGCTTTAGGTAGAACAAAAAGTCCCTCTTGTCATATTATCATATGAAGTGCTTGGACAAAGGATAAGACATTGAAATTAGTTCAACCTAAATATTTTTAAACTTCCCAGAAACATTTTCACAGTAAAAAAAAAAAAAACATACATATATATATATATATATAATTTCTTGACCAATTCAAATTGCTCCAACATCAACATATTCTTCTTCTTCTTCTCCTTTCGGCACGTCCCTATTCAGGGGTCGCCACAGCGAGTCAGTAATTTCCATCCGCCCCTGTAAACCGTCCTACCAACTTATTACATTTCTCAAATACATCTGTTGTGACCGGTTCTTCCTTTATCTGTTGCTACGCAGTTGCTGTAATCATGCTATGGTTTGGGTTTTGATTATGTCATAGAGGCCAAATGTCTTCCAGTATATCAACTCTGATTACTCAGTGAAATATTGTCAATTCGTCAAGCTTTCTCCGAGTCAGAGCAGTAGCTAACTTAAGTGTCTTCTGCATCCTGCCCTGCTCTCTGTATTTACTTTGTATTTTCGTAGATAAACACTTTTACTTTTCTACTTCTGTGTCATGTCTGCTTATGGGTCCAAATTCCACTCCTCTTGTGACAATATCCCTGGCTAGACATACAGTACATTCATATGCCTCATTATTTGTACAGTAGAATATGCATCTATCCAAGGTGGAAAAAGTACTCTGAAAATATTGACAGCTAGTTAAAAAATGATTGATCTTTAGTTTCTGTTGTAGTCATGTGTTTGGAAACTACTCAGCATTTTTTGCATTTCTTGCTTCTAAACTTGCAGAATAGACCGCCCCCCGGCTCAGACAATATGGCGTCAATCATGCCTTCGGCAAGTAAGGCGATCGCTGACGTACGGGACAAGAACAACACAATGGGCCTTTGCAAACTGTTGCTTGATGTCCTAATCCATGCCCTTCATTCCTTCTGCAAACAAGATTCCACCTTTTTATTTGGGACTCCGTTTGCTTTCTTTTGACACCCGATCTTGAAAGGGGCAAGAGGAGGCCCAGAGATAAATATGCTAACTCAGCATTTATGATGACATTAGTTTGCGTCAACTGAATACAAACCCATACAAAACTGGCCAAAGCACACGAAGCACTGCAATAAACGGCTCGCTCTTCAGTCGTTCAGAAACTAGGTACAGGGATATTTCAATGACACATTAAAGTTACAAGTAAAAAGTATTGATGAAAAAACAAATGTTGACATAAATGTAATATAAAGTAAAAATAAATCCATTTTCTAACAATACCGGATGGATAGTTCTCAACAAATATTTAATTAAAACATATCACCCACCACATAGCATAATTGCCCAGATCATTTATTCGGCCAAATTGTGGTCTCTGCATAACTTTACACTCCTCCCACTGCTGCATCATTCTTCGTTTCTTCCTATGATCTTGGCCAATCAAAACACTTTCTGCCTAAATCATCTCTTTGACTTAGACAGTTTTGATGCTACAAATAAAATGCAAGAAAGTATCAGAAAGAGGGATCGGCTGTCCACAAGTGAAGCATCAGTTCTTTTTGATTCGTTTTCATCTGGTCAGAGTTCCATTCATCCATCCATCATCTGAATCTTTTCCGCACAAGAGTCACAGGTGTGCCGGAGCCTATCCCACAGCCAAGGCTAGTTGTACGAAATTATCTTCTGACCTGCCTAAAATAATTTAATACTGCTAATCTTAGCTGTATCATTGTGGAGGTGATAATGGCTTTTCCTCATGGGAGCTCACATTTAACATCAATAAAATCCAAAATATTGTGATGAACGCTTTTGTTTTCAAAAGGTTGAAGTAGACATGAGTAGAGCTGTATATATAAATTTGGGCGACTATTAGTCACTGTTTTCAGACAGTAGTTGACAACAGAGCCTGATAAAAACAAGTCAGAAAAAAAATGTCACAATGCTAGACTGCTTCCCTCAATTATGTTGACAGTCTGATAAGAGGGAAAAAAAAACAGGCCACGGCCATAAAAATGGCTATCATTATGATGTCCTGAGTGTAGTAAAAAAAACCCCAAAAAAAACGCATTGAGTCACTTTTTTTTTTTATGGGCGTTGCATCCACCCACACCTAAGTTTGCGAAAAATCTGATTACATTTGAGATTAATGCGCCAGCAATCCTCGTGAGGATAAGCGGATGAGAAAATGGATGATATTAATGCGGAAACCAGAAACTGCTTTATCACGTGTTCCCTAAAGTTTATCTAATCATTGTATTGTTCTACAATCAAACTTCAGGAAAGTGCTCATTTAAAAATGCCCTCGGACGCTGCTGGTCATGGCGTAAGGTTTTGGAGCAGGCGGATGATGGAGAGGACTGTGGACCTCTGATCAACTATTCTGCTTCTTCGCCACACCCTTCACTCTTGCCCTAATTTACAGTCTTGATAGCCTCAACACATTATTCACTAGCAATGAAACAAATTACAGCATGACATCACGGAATGATTTATTTTATAACTCCTTTGATAGGATGCACGTGAATTTTTTTTTCCCTCTACAATTCCTATAAAGCAGAAGTTAGGCTAGGAGTTCCATTTGCCATGCAACAGTCAAAATTATAAATTACGTTTACACTTCATTTTCCCAAATTCCATTCTGGGTGTGAACCTACTTATCCTATCTTATTTTAATCAAATAAGTGATAACATATTTTACCCAGAAGTTGCTTGTTCAAGGAACCTGTGCAACAACCCCACCCCCGCCCCCAGATAAGAAACAAGAATCAAGAAAGAAATAACTCAAGTTGTCGCCATTGAAAAGTTGAAAACCCATTTGAACTGTGTTTTAAATGTAATGTTGACTTGCTTTATTTTGTTCTCGTAGTCCTCATCAAACTCAGCTCACTGCTCAGGGGTAAAATGATTTTCCAATCACCAACTTCTCCTGTTGTGGGAAAAAAAAAAGACACACACTAGTTTGTTAAATTGTGCTGACAAATAAGAAGTAAAAAAAAAAATTAAAGTCAAAGCATTAAAACTGTGGAGTGAGGAACTATGGCCAAAATGGCCCCTGATAAGCAAACTTCCCCACCCCTGCTTAGGACAGCTTCAAGAAAATGGATAGATGGTTATTGTTTCAATGTTGTTGTAAAATGTGGTTTTAAAATTTACAGTATAGTAGCTTTTTTGAGTTTTATGGCTACAAAAAAAGTTGAACGACCCTTTCTTATTAAGCTGGATATGGAAGTGTTGAAAAATTCTTTGGGAATGAAGGAGTAGTTCATCATTGGATTTCATCTTCTTGAAGGTGGTCAGGTCCAGAACGTGCCTGACGATGTCATCAGCCAGGGACAAGTCCAGGTACTTCACGTGACAGATTCTGGATGAGTGGACAAGGTGGACAACCATGAACAATTTTGCCCCAAGGTTAGTATCGATAATGAAATCTAGCTGAAATAACTTAAATTAACATTGAAAAAATTGTTTCATTCACGAAATAAAATGCCTTTACCAAAATGAAAACAAACTATATTTTATATTTATAAAACTAACCATTTTAGTCTTTGTCAATTATTTTCAAACATTAATTTTCTGGGGTTATATTAAAGTATTTTAGTATTACTGTTCGGCCAAGCAGAAGAGGGAGGGTCATTTGGCAATTGTAGTTTACCTTATGACAATACTTTTTCAAAATCTTGAACTCAAATAGTCTATACATGAAAAAAAAAAAAAAACCTCACGCTAAAACCAATAAAAAGAAAAGTTTTTCAAACCTTGTAACTATTCCATCTTAGTGTTTTAGCAACATACATACGCATGTCTTTTTTTTTTTAAGGGGGATCCTACATCTCAAAAACTTGACGTGATAGAGAAAAAAACTGAGATCAGTTTTAGATTCTGCACCCAAATATGTGTTTAAAATGGCTGTCAGAACAAATTCAACAAAAAGCGCGTGGCCCAATATTGAGGGAAGTAATCTATGAACTAATTTCATGAAACTTGACAATTGCCCACTGTACAATTGATGATCTCAGAACATTAATGTGCTGTGGGACAGTGGCTGGCAATCGCTGGCCTAGAGTTACTTGCAAAAAACATGATGCAACCCAATAATCTCAAAGTGCACCAAGGGAAACAGTAAAAAAAAAAAAAATCTGAGTATTCAAGAGTACGGTACCTTTTTTCATGTTTTTTTTTATTGAATCGCAAATAAAAACACAACACATGCAATAT